GATTGATTCAGTGACTGGGGTAATCGGGATGGGTGTGTCAGAGGCAATGAGATTGGCACAGGATAGAACAGGGTTTAGGGCTGTGTACATAGGGCCGCTATGAGTCGCAAACGACTCGACGGCACATAACAACAACAAAAAAACAACATGACCTAACTTGGGAGGTCCTAGAGACCATTACGCTAAGTGAATTAACTCAGTCACTTAGGGATAAATTGTATATAAGACCATTATTGTAGAACATGTACGAGGATACAAGGGAAGAGAGAAGAGCAGAGGGATGAAGATGGGCAGGAGTGGTTAATCATAGTGTCACACAATTTGATGCATGGAGGCGAAGATCCAATCTGTGGTTATAAGGTTGCTATGAGTCACCGTTGCTTAACAATTACAATAACATATGCTTATATCACACTGGAATGCAACTAGAAAACCCTGACAACTGTGTTTAGGTGGACAAAAACTACATTCATGATCATTAACTGGTTTGTTGTTGTTAGGTACTGCTGAGTCAAGTACGACCCAAAGCGACCCATGAACAACAGACCTGAACCCTGCCCTGTCTTGTATCATCCTCACACTTCCTGACATACTAAAGCCCATTATGGCAGTCACTCCATCAGTTCACCTGATTGAGGGCCATCCTCTCTGCCTTTCCAAGCATGATGTCCTTCTCCACGCAATAGATTCTCCCAGCACAATGTCCAAAAAGTATGAGGAGAAGCATTCTCATCTTTACCTCCAATAAATCTCCTGATTTCCTGGCTTCTGGTACCAAGAGTCTGAATTAACTGGTTTGGTAGTTGATTGCACTGGAAAAATATCTTGTTAGGGACTGCTCCAAATTATTGAAGTCATGTCAGTTTGAGGAATGAGGTCCATAATGTTTCTGATCACTTGCTATGCATCTGAGAGCTGAACAATGAATAAGGATGACAGGAGAAGAATTGACACCTTTGAGCTGTGCTGCTGGAGAAGAGCACTGAACATCCCATGGACAGACAAGAGAATGAAAAGAGAAGAAATGTCTTGGAGAGGGTGCAGCCAGAGTGCTCTCTGGAGGCAAAGAATGATGAGGCTTGGCCTCACATACTTTGGGCATGTTGCTAGGAGGTACTGGGAAGAGGGGAAAGTCGGCGAAGGAGAGGAAGACCCTCAATGAGGTGGACTGACATAATGACTGTTGCAAATGGCTCTTGTGTGTCAGTAAGTGTGAGGATGGCACAGGATAGAACACAGTTCAGATCTTTTGTTCAAAGGATCATTATGAGTCATACTCAATAGCACCTAACTACAATTATATATACTGTGCCTATATACAACATAGTGAATAGGAAACAACACTTTTTTAAGCTTCCTTATCATAACCAAACATCTTTTTATTTTTTTATTTTTAAAAAAATTTTTATTAATAATACTTGTCACTGGTAATAGAAAAATGGAGACATGGCAGTCCCTATGCCATGCCTCTACTGGAGTTTTTCTTTAATCACACTATCATTTAGTCCGCAGGGGCCAGTCCACTGCCTGAGGGAAAAAGCCAGAGTGGCTCATGTATTCTGGTCCTCAAGTCTTCCAAGATTCATTATCCTCAAG